CAGCATAAACCACCCGTTTGAATCCCACATCATTCTATCCCTATTCGAAGGAAATTTAGAAGCCAAACTTCCGACAATATGGACAGATGGAAAAGAGTCAGAGAAGAGAAAGGGTCAGAAGAAAGAAGATCAGAGAAGAGAACGCGTCAGAAGAAAGAAGATGCAGGTGTGCGAAAAAGCAGAAAAGTCGCGAAACACTGTATTTTTCCTATGTTTTGGGCGAAAAGTAGGCTCGCTAAAGCGGCGTGTGCGGAGCCATCTGGGGAGATGAGAGATGAAAAATTGCACGCCGCTGTGGCGCGAAGCAGATTTTGAAGTCAGTCAAAAAGCTATAAACACCTCACGGAGCACTTTTGAGATTTCAGATGTTCAAAAAGTGTACATCGTTGTGGCGCAAAACACATTTCGAAGTCAAAGTGTTAAAAACTGACGGGTTCGGAGCACTTTTGGAAGTTGAGATGTTGGAAAAGTGCACGGCGTTGTGGCTCGAAGAACGTTTCGAAATCAAATTGCACAAAACACCTCAGCCTCGGAGCAGTTTTGGAGGTTGCGATGTTGAAAAAGTGCAAGCCGTTGTGGCAAGAAGCACATTTATCATTTTGAAGTCAAAATGCGCGACACACACCACGTTCGGACCAGCTTTGGACATTGAGATGTCGAAAAAATGCACGCCGTTGCGGCGGGAAGCACATATCGAAGTCAAAATGTGAAAAACACATCACGTTCGGACCACCTTTAGACGTTCAACCGCAGCACACTACACTACACTACACTACACTATAACTACAACAAACACTACTACTGCTACAGCTACAGCAGCAACAGCAGCAGCAGCAACAACAACAACAACACCTGCTGCTGCTACTACTACTACTACTTCTTCTACTACTACTACTACTTCTTCTACTACTACTACTACTACTTCTACTACTTCTACTTCTACTACTTCTTCTACCATATACTACTACAGCTACAACCACAACCAGTTGTGGGTGAGTGACCATTGCAACCACTCCAAAAAGCACAGCTCCAACCACCTTTCGGTCGATCAGTTCGCTCTGCCATCCTTGCATCACAACAACTCACCTCTCCTATAGTTTCCTATCTTTGAAACTTCCGCCACCGCCTTGTGAGGCATTTTCCTGGTGAATACCCCCATTATATCAATAATTCCGAAGGTCAGCATCAGCACCATTCCTTTACCCCCTTACAGCAACTTCCAAAATGAGTCAAAATGATAAATAAATGTCACTAAGACAGTGGTGCATTGTTGTTTCTATCTTTTTGTGGCTTTACTGAGTTTACTGCCATGTAAAGCCTCAAAGGCCTGGGGCGGGATGTTTTCGACAAAGTTCTGAGGGACGGACCATGCCCAGGCCAGCTAAAGCCATGGCCAGGCGAATCGCGTGATCAACGAGGTTGTTGACGTCGTACATCTCTGCGACAAAGGAATCTGCAGTTGGAAATGTTGTGGTTGCCCCGAAAATTTGATAGTGAACATCATATTTCCATGCAGAACTGCAATTTTGGGAGATCCCCCATCATTAGACACATCAATAGAACTGCTTTGGGAGATCCCCCATTAGACTCCACATGACAGTGCCAGTGCCTCATCTCAACAGATGGCTCCACTGGTTCTCTGACCCAGGTAAAGTTAAACCATCCAAGGTTTGATGCCATCTATCGTAACAAAAATAACAACATAAAAATATGGTTTGGTCAATTTTGTTTGAGCCATACTTTGAATAGGGGGCGAAACATTGAGTATTATATAATATGATATGATGAAGAAAAATAGATTCACTATTTTTTGATTTGTACGGGAAATTTTAAATACAATGAAAGGAATTGAGCTATCTGCAGAAAATTGCAGGACAACTCCTCCAAATAGACTTTCAGTGTTACAGTACTATGAAATTGAACCCTAAAAATTATAGCAAACAAACAAAAAACGCAACATATATAAGATAATTGTTTGAACAGTAATATTGCTTATTAAAACCATGAAAAATACTTTGAAAAACAACAAACAATATACAAACATACAATTTTAATATTACAATGTCTTAATTTAAATTTAAAGATATGTCAAAATACAATTAAGATGTACCAGAGCCTGTGGTAAACCTGCCATAAAACATCCCAGTCACCAATAATCATCCCATTGCTGCTATCCTCAATTTCATGAACCTCGGGGATGGTTTGTTACGATTGGTTCACCACAGCGATCCTCATATTGTAATCCAAAGCCTCCACGGCTACGATGGATCCATTGACCTGAGCCGGGCTGATGGTGCTGATGGTCATGTCAACAGAATCAGATTTATCATCTGGAAGGGCTTAAAGGGCTATAAGTTTGTCCTTTGTCCTGGAAATGGAGCATTTTCCAAAATGGCAATTTTGGTTCGCCAAAGTGATGATAAACAATTAAATGTCTTGGGGTTACCACCTTTTGGGACAAACCGACCATGTTTTACTCAGTTCTATAACCCCCACATCTGTATCACTGCAGAGCATCAGCGTCTAGCCACCAGTGAGAACAGCGTGGACCACACAAAATTCGTGGTTGGCATCGCCAGCCAAACACGTTGCCTCCAGCATGGCTCTGAGAGTTGAGTAAGTATACACCTGGGGGATATGTTGGGATATCATAAACAAAAATACCATCGGGTGATCAAACATGCGTTGTTGGAAAATCCCCCAACTGTGGATGATTTTCTCATTGAAACCTCTGTTTTGTACGGGATTGCCCAGCTAGCCATGTTTGATTACCAGAAGGTAACAAAGAACAAATGAGCCGTGATCAATAGGTCTTGCATCAGTAGTTGCACGCTGCCAAAGGCTGGAGAGGGAAAAAGTGTTGACCACTAAAACAACGAAGGATTTCACCACCTTAAACCGGGGTGCAAAGATAACACCAAGAATGTGAGTTTGAAAGACCTATTTGAACTTTAACCACTTTTTTGACAAAGTTAGCTTAACTTAACTGTTAGGTCCTTAATCCGTTTTAATCCTGGTAGGGGAAATGATCATTGTAGATTCCCCGCAAAAGAATGACTCGTTATTCATCCATCCCAAGTTCGGCGTCAATAATTTTTAGCCATGCCCAAATCGTCAGAATTTAAACCAATCGTAGAAAACCCAATCAAGATGGGTGCTCCATCACGGTCCCCAGTCCCTGCCTAGTGCACCGATATGGAATGCACAAGCCCACGAAGGTATAGACATGGACGTCATGACCATCACAATCTGACATCTCGCTCAAATGCCATGGATGGAATGAAACAAACGTGTCAAAAGGTGGCAAACTACAACAATATCTACTCAGTTAAACTACCACAAACAAGCGGAAAGATATTTCGATGTGATTACACATGACTACCCATAATTCGAAGAAACGAGGAATTTGATATCCAAACGGTTTGCAACTCTAATAGGAAATGACTTCTGCAGCTACATGGGACCACATTTCCTCCCAAGCAACTCCCTGTGGCAAACCTCGGACTGACGTACTTATCACTGGGCCTTTGTTCAATTCACCAAGGATGTTTGTAGACCCGTCCCTGTCAAACACTTTCCCTCCTGCGTTTTCCTCTAATGCCCCATGGGCCTACATGGACACTGGCGCCACTTGAAACCGACCCACTTTGCATTGTTAAAACTAGATGGGACGACTGCAAATAGGTACAATGGAAGCATGACGGCTAGCAGCCACCTCAAGTTTGGGCAAATACAGTGCAGGATACAGCAAAAGGATCTTGCTGCGGCTAGTGCGAAATCAAGGCAAACATCCGGAAATTGTTTGATTAAGTCAATGCAAATAAAACACTCCAAAACTCGCACTGGTAGGTGAAACTATTCAAACTTCACAAAAACAACATTGACAACTCAGCTCAGAACGCTGAAATCACAGCTGCTAACAATCGCTGACAATGCAGCAGAAAAACCTCGCAGATGAGCAGGGGGGTTTCAGTCCAGGGTGCAAAATTTGGAATTACTTGATGTCTGAAACTTAAAACATATTATATAAAACATGTCAAAAAAACAATGCCTATAAACGCGTTCCTGCAGTTTGCAAGCAAAGACTGAAAAGTGTACCATTTCAGTTGGGAAATTGAAAAGCAGCGTGCAATTCATGGCGCTTGGCAGTGCGCCGAAGTTGAGGCTGTCGTCCCATTCAAGGCATGTTTTCGAGAATTCGTTTCAAACGCGCATTCTGAATGCAGAAAAAAACATATGTTCCGCTCAGTCCACGCTGTTCCTAGTCGGACTTTTTTCGAAGTTTCGTATTACTATCCATTCTAGGTTGTATGGAATTGTGATGAGTTGTTGCTCAACCCTGTTCTTGCGTGCCAACACATCACGAGTCTGCACGGGTGTGAAACTCAAAAATCAAAGATGCCAAACATTTGGGTGTGCCTGAAAAATATGCATAGCCCAATTTAGAAACCATTGGAGTACAGCATTTTCAGAGAATCCCATTTGCACGACCATCATGATAATTGAATCTCTGCTGAAAGCCTTTCATGTTGCTGCCGAGGATGCCATTGAACGAAATTTCACTGCAACCTACAATTAACAGCAGCATGCATTATTAGATGTAAAGCGTCAAGCAATGCACAACACCCTTCCAATCCTACACGCCCCTGGCACAACAACATCGACACAGCATGGCAAGACACACAGAACAAATTGTTGAGTGTATCGGAGCCATACTGATCGCCGCTAAGCCAGCAACCGAGTTTTGTCAGCTGTTCTGCCACAACGCCAAAGAAATGTGACGTCCAATGTCAACATGCAATGCGGCAACCACTGCGCCACCTTTTTAGATATGTTCAATTGGATCGTTCGCTTCATCTGTTGCCAAGATTTGGCCATTGGATGAGCTCTCACCCTAAAACTCAGGTCAAACTAAAGACTACAAGTAGGTTGAAGTTTCAAGACTATGTCTACCTTTCTGGTATTCACCTGATCAATTTTTGATCTAAGACGTAATTTGAAACAGCTAATTAGTTTGACCTGACTACATATAGGGCAACCACCCCAGGCGAAGCCTCCATGACCTCACTCGTTTTACCTTCGAGGTGGCTGGAGCTTCCAATTGAAAGTCATTGGACATTAACCGCTGATGCTCGCCGCAGCGTGCCTTGTGGCCTATCTGCAGTGCGAAAAGCATACTGATGGTTCAACGCAACACGCTTAATTTAAGGAGTTGCCAACAATCTCAGGGTGAAACATGGGTGAAGTGAAACATATCTTGGGTCATCTAATCTCGGCCTGACCTCCTTTGGAGGCGTTCAACGCTGAATCCACTTTCTTAGCTCAAACCGTCCACGCGAAATCTCCACGACCCCATTCTTCGAAACCTTCAGGAGCTTGGAGCTTCCAACTGCTCTTGGCCACATGCATGCGGAAAAGTCCAATGATGGACACGGCAGGGTACCTCAAATTGCAAGAAACTTGCGGCTCAGGGGTAAGGGACGAAAGGTGCATGAAAACACAGAGGGTACCAGTTGACCTGAATTTTAGCTAATCCCAACCCACTGAACTTCTGATAATGAACTGGTGCCCATCGCTGGTCCAAAACATCCCTGAGCAAGACATCGAAGTGTCAGCGGAGCGCTGGTGGAGTCAGGGAGCCAGTAAAACACCCTCCCGCAACGGAAGACGGGTATGCCATGTCGTGGCTATCAAAATCGTGCTCCTCTTGTGAGCATTACACATGATGAAAAGCTGTGACGGATGTTCGTCCTCACAAATATAGTACAGTAATGTCAGTAATGTATTAAACCTTGCCCTATTGACGATTCCAATAATGCAGAGCATGCGGATGCTGCTGATGTTGCTACTGGTGGCAACCTGCCGACGGTGTCCCTGGGGGATTGATCCACGGCCAGACTGCTTGTGGACCACCCAAGGGGAGGGGCTGTTAACTGTGAAGGTTCACGTGGTTGGAAGTTCACGCGGTGAGCAGAAGCTAGCTTTCGTGAAAAACGTGTCCCTGTCTCATTTTAATTTTCACGCACAGCACAAACTCATGCAAATCACGCTCTCCGAAAGGCATTCGCAAGCTCCAGGCAAGAAACGTATAAATTACTTAATTTCTGCAAGTTGCATCTGTTTTCGGTGGGCTTGGAAGGGCATAGTTATAGGTTGTTCTGCTAGCCCTCGTCGGAGTTGTATCTCGCCTGCGTCTAGATCAATGGCAAACCCGAGGACATCCTGCACCTCCCACTCCTTCATCGCCAAGGCTTCACATCCAGTGAAATTGTGCCACATCTTGCAGCCTCGGCCATCAAAGGCCCAGCCATTCTGATCATCCCCGACACCCTTGCCATCAAACTCTCCTGCCTGGAAGTCAGGGGTCAGCCAACCAACTTGAGCGGCTCGAAAATCACTGAGGAGCTGGATCTCATAGTAAAATTTCCCGCTGCTCTGGGCCAAGTCCGGCAACCCGCAAGTGAAGAAACGGAAGGCATGTGGCGGTGCAGCGCGTGGCTTCAAGGCCGTGAGGCCAACCAGCTGAGGTCGTGGGCCGGCGACTGCACCTGCTTTCACCAAAGCATCAAGCACTGGGCTGTTGGGATGTCGTTCGTGCGCAATGTCAAGAGGTCGGGCGCCGCCGATGCCTGCATTCACATCCACTATGGCGAGCAAGAACTCCACTGTGGCCAAAATATGCGCAGCATTTCCTAGAAGTGCATGATGCAAAGCCATCTCCATGCCACAGCCAACCACCTGCAAGGCCTTCATCACTTCCAGACGGCCATAGCGGGCTGCAATGTGCATTGGGGTCAAGCCATACTTGTCGGCCTTGTTTACAGCGCAGCCGGCCTCCTTCAAGGCCTTGACCGTATCCACATGGCCATTTTCGGCCGCAATCAAGAAAGGGTACCTGCCAATGTTGTCGGCCTTGTCAATATCGCAGCCGCCTTCCTGCAAGGCCTTTACAACATCTAGATGGCCGTTTTCGGCTGCGATGCAAATAGGGGTGCGGCCATACTTGTCGGCCTTATCCACATCGCAACCTGCCCCCATCAAAGCCTTCACCACGTGTAGGTGGTTGGAGCGTGCTGCGATGGAAACCGGGGTCCAGCCATTCTTTTCTGTCTTGTCCACGTCGCAGCCGGCCTCCAACAGGGCTAAAACAACATGGAGGTGGCCAGCTTTGGCTGCGAGGAACAGAGGCGTCAAGCCATCGCTGTCAGTCTTGTGAACATCGCAGCCAGCCTCCTTCAAGGCCATCACCACATCCAGGTAGCCATATTCGGCTGGTAAAAATAAAGCGTTCCTGCCATCTTTCCGGGCCTTGTCCACATCGCAGCCAGCCTCCTTCTGAGCCAACACCACATCCAAATGGCCGTAGGCGGCTGCGATGAAAACACAGCTGCGGCCATCGTCGTCGCATGCTTCCATAGGGTTGGCTCCAAGAGCCTGCAGGGCCTCAATCACGTCCATACGTCCTTCTGCGGCTGCATGATGTGCGGCCGCATGGCCTTTCCACATGGCTGCTAGAGACACCCCGAATTTGACGAAGGTATGGAGCACGGAGATGTGGCCAGCCTCTGCGGCTTGGCAAAATGATGCCACCCGATCCTCCTCTGAAAAATCGCTTGGCTCCCTGAGCAGATGTTCCACCCGTGGGACCACGCCATATCTGGCTGCCAACTCCAACTTCCCACCTCGCCACCCTGAAGAGAGAGGGAAGAAATTTACGGCAAACCATGCCATGCCAATCTCATCCGCTGCTACCACCAGGAAAGTCAATGTGAAGGCCCCCATGGTCGCCAAGGCCAGCAACACCACTACTGGCTGGGCTGCTAGACTGCACTCACCTCGGGAGTAAACCAACGCAAGCAGCCAAAAAGTAGCCACCACCTGCAAAGTGCGCAGCATCAGCAATGCTCGAGCAAGTCGATGTTGCCTCAATAGGTTTTTGCCGTGGCAGGACCAAAAGGTGCCCAAAAAGGCCTGCATCACACCAATGAAGGTTTGCTTCTCCAGCAGACCCCACCAAGTCTTCAGCTTCAAGTTCACCTTCAACAAAACGCTGATCAGCAACAACTCAGCCACCACGAGAAACGGGAGGTATGGTTGTTGCACACCGTGATGCTTTGTCTCAGTTGGGCGAAGGGCAACACCCAAAAATGCCCAAACGCCGATTCGCGCGAAGAAATCGCACGCCCGAAAACCTGTTAGGAACGTTCCCTGCAGCTTACCTTGTTGCTGACGTTCTCCTGGTGCCAGGAAAACCTCGTAGCTGTTGTTGAGGCCGACTGCCACAGTACATATTGAAGAAACAACTGACAGGCAAAGAATTGCAGGGTTCCCCTTTGGGCCTTCCACAAGCAAGGCGTACACCTGCAGGAGAGCGGAAGGCGCGCCCTCACACAAGGCGGTCAAGGCCTTTTCCTCCTTCAACTCTTGCGACATTCCAGTGGAACACGCTTTGATGGCGATCAAAACGGGTTGCAACTGCAGTATGTATAGGAAAAACAGTTTGCCCCCTGGTTTTGGTTCCCCTTCTGCGTTCAATCCAGCAGCCCAGCCAGGTTCCCAGATGTTGCACCTTTCCCAGCTGAGGCGACGATGCACAAAGGCCACGAACCCGCTGGTGACCCAAATGGCCGTCAGCAAGGATGCAAACACGTACATTCCATCCTGCAGTTTGGGAACCAAAATTTGGGGATCTGAAACAACCAAAATGATGCAAACTGAAATGAATATATAATTGACCAATCTGGTGATTTTACCAGCCAAGTTTAAAAACATCGAACAAAAACTGGAGCATTGCGAGGGCATGCGAGGGCCTACTTTGGCTGGATGGTTTCCAGTACAGGGACGAAGTCGCTTTGAACCCTTGATCCTGCATGTAAACAATGATGACGTAGACGTCTGATGCCATGTCGAACAACCACAGCAATAGGGTGCAGGCGACCTCCAATTGTGACATGAACTTGTCCACCTTCTCATCTGCACAGTCCTCATCAAATAGGTTCACTATTGTGTATTCATATGGGTTACAGCGCAGCTTGGCGAAGTACAAAGCTGCACCCATGGAGGCCAAGATCCCAGAGCACACTGAAAAGACCACCCAGTGGGAAGTGATGAAGTTGATCAGGTCGCAGAACATGCCAACTGTGTGCTGCCACGTGTTTCGGATGTATCTTTGCAGCTCTTGGCCGAAGCAGGGACCTGGAAGCAATCCTTGCAGGCCAGTGAGTTTGTCTCGATGGATTTCTTCAAGCAGACCTATGGACGGTAGAAACTGGAGCCCCATGGTTCTCTTCAAAATATCCATGGGTTCCATCGGAGAAATCGAGTGTTCGGCATCAACGGATTTCGGCTTTGACTGCAGCTGTCGCTCCTTCCAAGGGCGTGAAGATGAAAGCAAGGCGTAGCCAGCCACAGCGAGACCCACCGCGAGGGCAACAAGCACCAGGCCCGCATGGCGTCGCATGGTGGAGATTTCGCTGAAAACGGTTGAGTCGCTACCAGGATTTCGCACCTACGCCCCATGATATCTTGGGTATTTCTAGTTTTGACTCATGATTGGTGTTCACTAAAGAGTGAATATTATATTGAAATGTACAATATATACGTTTTTCTTTCTATTTATATATATATAATCCCGATGGGATACATAGAATATATAATCGATAATTTCGGCCTCAAAAAACATTTTCCAGAATCGGTAAAAAAAACCTATACATAAAATAAAAACATCTTCCGGAATCGGAAAAAAACTATACATAGAATATTTCCGGCTATACATTTTGATCCGGGAAAATAAACTTATCACCGTTGTCATTTTCTCAGGATTGCTGCAGCCGTCTCTGATTCAAATCAGTTCCGCAAAGGGACAACGGTGATTTCAGCAGGGACCCCTGTGTGTGCATAGGCCTGATCCAAAAGTTATTGACGCATTTTTTCTTTGAGGAGTTCGCGTGTCTTCTCTTCTCTTCCTGCCCTTGTTTTTCCTTTTTCTTGGTTGTTTGTTTGGTTGCCATCAGTTATCAACTGCAGAAACCCATACATAGAATATGGATGAACCTCATACATTTGTCAATGCAATGATTGCCTGAAATTTGGCAACTCGTGGGGAGGAACCTTTTGTGAACTTCAAACTGCATTCTTGTAATACAAAGTGTAGTCAAACACTTGTCAATTCGGGAAACCCATTTTCTTTTCACAATTCTGATCCAAAAGTTATTGACGTATTGTTTCTTTGAGGAGTTTGTGTGTCTTCTCTTCTCTTCCTACCCTTGCTTTTCCTTTTTCTTGGTTGTTTGTTTGGTTGCCATCAGTTATCAACTGCAGAAACCCATACATAGAATATGGATGAACCTCATACATTTGTCAATGCAATGATTGCCTGAAATTTGGCAACTCGTGGGGAGGAACCTTTTGTGAACTTCAAACTGCATTCTTGTAATGCAAAGTGTAGTCAAACACTTGTCAATTCGGGAAACCCATTTTCTTTTCACAATTCTGATCCAAAAGTTATTGACGTATTGTTTCTTTGAGGAGTTTGTGTGTCTTCTCTTCTCTTCCTCCCCTTGCTTTTCCTTTTTCTTGGTTGTTTGTTTGGGTTGCCATCAGTTATCAACTGCAGAAACCCATACATAGAATACGGATGAACCTCATACATTTGTCAATGCAATGATTGCCTGAAATTTGGCAACTCGTGGGGAGGAACCTTTTGTGAACTTCAAACTGCATTCTTGTAATACAAAGTGTAGTCAAACACTTGTCAATTCGGGAAACCCATTTTCTTTTCACAATTCTGATCCAAAAGTTATTGACGTATTGTTTTTGTTGCAGGTATCCGCTGGCATTCTCTTCTCTTCCTCCCCTTGTTTTTTTCTTGGATGTTGGTTTGGATAGCCATCAGTTATCAGCTGCAGAAATACATGCATAGAATATGGATGAATATGGCACATTTGTCAATGATTGCCTGAATTTGGGCAACTTGTGGGGGGGTCCCTTTTGTGAACTTCAAACCGCATTCTTGTAATGCAAAGTGTAGTCACAAAATTGCCGATTTGGGAAACCCATTTCTTTCCACAATTCTGATCCAAAAGTTATTGACGCATTGTTTTTTTTTCAGGGTGTTCGCTTGTATTCTCTTCTCTTCCTCCCTTTGCTTTTACTTTCTTCCTGGATGTTTGTTTGGGCTGCCATCAATTATCAGCTGCAGAAACCCATACATAGAATATGGATGAACATGGTACATTTGTCAATGATTGCCTGAAATTTGGCAACTTGTGGGGGGGTCCCTCTTCTGAATTTCAAACTGCATTTTTTTAATGCAAAGCGGAGTCAAACACTTGTCAATTCGGGAAACCTATTTCTTTCCACAATTCTGATCCACAAGCTATTAACGTATTGTTTTCTTGTATCCTATTCTGTTCCTACCCTTGCTTTTCCTTTTCCTTTGATGTTTGTTTGGGCTGCCATCAGCTATCAGTTGCAGAAACCCATACGTAGAATATGGATGAACATCATTCATTTGTCAATGCAATGATTGCGTTAAATTTGGCAACTTGTGGGGGGAACCCTTTTGTGAACTTCAAATTGCATTCTTTTAATGTAAAGTGTAGTCAAAAACTTCTCAATTTGGGAACCCCATTTTCTTTTCACAATTCTGCTCCAAAAGTTATTGTTTTTTTTCCCCGCAACTTTGTGTGGGGTTCTTGTTTTTGATTCGCTATCCCGGGCCTCCGCCTCCTCCTCCTCCTCCGCCTCCTCCGCCCACCTTTGTCCCACACAACTTTGTCAACCACCATCTTTCACCTGTCACACACAACACAACTTTGTCACACACCTTTGTTCCACACAACTTTGTCACACACCATCTACCATCTCCCACAGACCATCTTTCTCAACCATCTTTGTCAACCACCATCTTTCACACACCGTCTCTCACACACCATCTAGCACAACTTTGTCAAACTTTGTCACACACCATCTTTGACACACCATCTCTCAAACACCATCTTTGTCCCACACAACTTTGTCACACACCATCTTTCACACACCATCTCTCACACACCATCTTTCTCAACCCACACACAACGCAACTTTGTCACACACCATCTTGACACTTTCTTTGTCAAACTTTGTCACACACACCATCTTTGACACACCATTGGCGGCGCGCTTGGACCGGATTGGTCGCGCGGTGACGCCGCGGCACTTTGCGTGGCAGGCGTGGCACTCGGCCACATCCGCCTGCCATTTGCGTGGCTGGCGTGGCACTCGGCGACATCCGCCTGCCATTTGCGTGGCAGGCGTGGCACTGGAGACACTGGGCTGGGTCTGGTGGCCCGCTTGGACCGGATTGGTCGCGCGGTGATGCCGCGGCACTTTGCGTGGCAGGCGTGGCACTTGGAGACATCCAACGGCACTTTGCGTGGCAGGCGTGGCACTTGGAGACATCCAACGGCACTTTGCGTGGCAGGCGTGGCACACAACTGTGTTACACAGAACTTGTCACACAACTCTGTCACACACAAAAGACATTCACCTGCGTTTTGCGTGGCAGGCGTGGCGCTTATGGCACTGGGTGGCGCGCTTGGACCGGATTAGTCGCGGATGACGCCGCGGCACTTTGCGTGGCAGGCGTGGCACTTGGAGACACTTTGCGTGGCAGGCATGGCACTTGGTGACATCCACCGTCGTTTTGCGTGGTAGGCGTGGCACTTGGTGGCAGCCACCTTCGCTTTGCGTGGCAGGCGTGGCACTTGGCGACATCCTCCTTCGTTTTACGTGGCAGGCGTGGCACTTGGTGACATCCACCTTCGTTTTGCGTGGCAGGCGTGGCACTTATGGCACTGCGTGGCGCGCTTGCATTTTGCGTGGCAGTGGCACTTGGTGACATCCTCCTTCGTTTCACGTGGCAGGCGTGGCACTTGGTGACATCCACCTTCGTTTTGCGTGGCAGGCGTGGCACTTATGGCACTGCGTGGCGCGCTTGGACGGCTTGGTCGCCAGTGACGCCGCGGCACTTTGCGTGGCAGGCGTAGCACTTATGGCCATCTACATTCGTTTTGCTTGGCACGCGTGGCATGGTGGCGCAGCCTTATTCCTGTCAGGTGGCCGGCGTGGCGCTTGGTCACATGCATCTTCCTTTGCCGTGGCCGGCGTGGCAGTTATGACCGGCAGAAAATCACGCTTTCGTCGCTTTGGCCCAAGCAGAAACGACCGGAACAGAAAATCACGCGGTCATCAGCGAAGAGCCCAAGTTGTAGCTCATGGGCCAAAAGTCAGACATTCAGCATGCTAGCGTATAAAGTCCGTGCGCAAGCTTTCTTATCTGCTGTTTTGGCTGCTGGCATTGTTGATTCAACGTGGAAAGACATGCCAAGCAGATGACATTGGAACGCACAGTGATCCGGAATGGTTTGGCGCAACGTGCAAAGAACCAATCTCAGTCACAGTGCGTGCGGTTGACATATATGGGAAAAGATTGCACAGTTAGCGTCATAACCATGGTGCTTGCCACTGTGACTGTATCGTAACTTGACAGGCATGCGTTCTGTGTCTAGATATATTGTACTTGTCTTCCATATTTGCATCCAACCAGCTACATACGTGTTCTGCACTTTTGCGGCCAGGTACTTTTCCTCTATGTCATCATCGTCGGATTCGTGGCTGTAGGACAGGCGAGGCTGTCATCGGATTGTTGGAACTTACAGTGGGTGCAATACATAGAACATCTCGTTGCAGCTCAGAATATAGCATGTCCTTTCCTACATGACTAAGCTATGTTGCGATGGTGACACCGTCGCGCAGACATACTGCATTTGAAGATGCTTTTGGCTGGGTGCCACTGGCTCAGCACGAGTGGTTATGAGAGATTAGCTGATACATTGCGGCAAAGAACCATGCTCAGTGACATTGCATTAATGTGCTGCAAAAAAACAGCAGAAAACAAACAGAAGCTGAACTAGTGTCGTGACTACAGTGCATGTCATTGCGTGAGCCATAACGAAGCCATAACGAAGTACTTATTTTTTTCTGCATTGATCCAGTGTACTCGTATGAGTCGTTGCGGCCAGGTCTTGTCTGATCGTTCATGGAGACAGGCCCGGCTTGTCAGTGCCTAGCTGGGAGTCCTTTCATGTTTTGTGGTAATTGACATTCTCTTACTACAGCAATGAACGCTTCGTTTTGTGTAGCCACATTCGCTTTGCGGCCAGGTACTTTTCCGATTTCAAATGCCAAGCAGATGACATTGGAGCGCTGGCGCAAAAAAGAAATCCGCAGTGATGCCGCATACTTGTCGGTCCTCCACCGCATCCTTTGTCTTTCCTTCTTTCCCCGTCCCCGCTACAACATGTGCTGGTCATTATTGGAAAAAGTTGACATACATGCATACAGACATACATATATACATAATAAATAAATAAATAAATATATATATATATATAAATATATATCCATACACACATACATGCATGCATGCATGCAT